TTGTCTCCTCCTAATTATTGCCTCATCCAGCACTGGTGTTAGATGGATAGAGGAGAACACAACTTGAGCTTCTGATCCCTCCAGCAGTTGCCCTAAGGTCCTGAAATCTCTTTTGAGTCTGAGCCTCTCGTTGTTGTGTCCTCACTATTCACTTGAAAGACCAGAAGTGGGCAGTAGTCTGAAGGACCCACAAGGTTGGGAGTCTTATCTACAATGTCCCTTACCTGGGCACCAGACCTCCCTATGAAGAGGATTTGGTCTGCATATTGGGCCATCTACCCTCTTCAGCCGAGAGTCACCTATAATAATGACCCTTTGAGGTTTCTTCTCATGGTCAGTTTTGATGGCTGGCCTGAGGCAACCTGCCTTTGGTGCAGCTTCTGGCCTTTTTGATTCCTCATCCTTGCTGTCTACTTGTTCCTCCTGCAGAACCTCATGCCTATTCTGCAAGTGCACTGTAGGCAGTGTGCTTCTTAAAGTAGTGCGCCTGCCCCACTTGCATTCCTTCCACTGGGCAGAGACCTGTTCCCATTGACCCTGTTCATCTGGGTTGCTACCTGGAGGCTGAGGGGCTTGCTGTTGGGATGGTATCTCAAACGGCCTACTCCACCTAGGAGTTAACTCCTGTTCTGGGTCCATGGAGAATAGACTGTGGAAATGGTCAATTTCCCTTTCACAGTCTCTTTTAGTTCTTAGTTTTTCCACTTTTTTCCTTTTAGTTCCACCACCATGAGCACCAGATCTCTGATCTGCTCACATCTAACACAGGTGTTATCCCTGCCACCCTCCATATCAAGCGCAAGGCTCCAGCATTCATTGCAGCCAGTTGCCTGAACATCTGCATTCCTGTGTGTGGTCTCTGTTTGGGTGCCCACAATTTTCTTATTAGCCTTTGTCTGACTGGTAATCAAGTCTTTCAGTAACTGCCCTCTCCCCATATTTCCCCCACCCTTTTTTTTTTTCCCCTTTATTAAAATAAGTTCCCAGAGCGGAACTGGTCCCGCTGCCTCCTCTCCTCACAGCCACGTGCTCGGCTCTGTTTGGGCCTCTCGCGGTTTCCACAGCAACGCCTCCCTTTGCCACGCCACCTCCCGGCTGCTCAGGCACCTAGGCAACCCGAGCCTGCTGCCCCTCCGCCCCTCCGCCGGGGCTCCCGAGCGGGCAGCCCCCCTTCACATGAAGAGAAGGGGAAAGAAAAGCCAGAATAAGTTCCCAGATTTGAGCTGGTTCCCGCTGCCTCCTCTCCTCGCAGCCACGCGCTGGGCTCTGTTTGGGCCTTCTTAGAATAAGAAAACATCTGTAAATTGAACCCATTACTAGAATATTAACAAGAGCCTTTGCGTAAACCAGCAACACAAAATTTTGATATCCCATCAAATCCACGGTCTTTGGTACTTTTACTAAACTTGGACCCAACTGGTATTAGAGATCCTGACGAGAGAAGGAACTCAACAGAACACCAGACATGGCTGAGGTTTGCCTTCCAGAAAAGTCAAAGTAGTTATACAGTATAGATGAGCAGTGTTTCTAGTTTTAAGCTCTGGTTTTAAACACAAACTCCATTTCCCAATAAACTCAAGGATTTTTTTGCAATAGAGCACGTTAGAAGAACACACTTACCTTTGTTCAGTTTGGTATGACACACTAAAAAAAAACCCCACACAGCTCTACAGAGACTTTGGAGCTCTACTCACACAGCTAACAAGCTTTCCTGAAACCAAGCATTTTGTGGTGTTTGAGATAAAAAACATCCAGAGCTACACCTTTCTACTGGTGAAGCTATCCAAGATGATTAGAAAGAGCCAGACTAAGCTGTAAGAGCAATGTAAAGAAGCCTGTGAATTAAAAAATAAAACAAAGCACCATACTGCAGTAACTAGCAATAACAAAAACTAATTCTACAATTTTTTATCAAAATGTTGGGGCAGGATGGAATCCAGCCCTCAAATAAATGCATGCTTTGAAAAAGGAAAAAAAAAAAAAAAAAAAAAAATTTTTGGATCTGGGCCCCACCCCAAAGCTTGTGAAAAAAGAAAAAAAAAAAAAAAAAAAAAGTTTTGTGATCTGTGCCTCACCACCAAGCTTGAAGGATCCCCAGAGAAATCTGTGCAGACATATCAATGGAGAGATTTAGGTGCAGCTTGTTAGATGTTTCCCTCCCCACTTTGTGTTACGGCTCTGCAAACTGAGGAGTGTTTTACCAAGTGTTAATTTTGACTACGATCCACTGTAAAGAGTGCTACAATAGTGCCTCAAAACTTCTTTGAAAAATATAACTGTGTAGAAGAAATCAACTGCCTGTACAGTGCATTTACAATACACAACCCAGGAAGTAACATGCACCAAAAGAAGTGCTTTATATGTTAGCCCTTGGCCACGGAGAACTTGGCAGTGCTAGTACAACGTTAATGACTATAGGGTGAAAAAGAAATTATTAAAGAGATCAACAAAATCTCAGTTATACCTAAGTTTACCATGAAATAGGAAGACATACATTATACAAAGAAAGGTGATTTTTAACTAGAAAGTGGGGTGTTGTAATTCTTGGAAGGGCTGGACCTGCCAATCTTCCACTTCTTAAAGCCGGTCCGGTTCTCCAGCGGTTTGGTTGCCTGGGGACTTTCATAAAGGACACAGATAGACCCATCTTCACCTATGCGATAGGACACTTCGAAAGGGTCGACCCAAAGGGTTAATTCGCTGGGTAAGAGCTGGAAGAGTCTCTCGTAGCTTAGTCCAACCTTCTCCGCTGCCTTTCCTACCAACGGGTCGATCTTATGGTTGATCCTAATACAGCGGTACCCGGAGCCCCTGGAGGACTCCAGGGGGAACCAGTGGTGCTGGTAGTGCTCTGCAGGAGGGAACAGAGAGCAGCTTTAACCGCGGCCCCGCAGCCCCGCGGGGGCAGCGGCGCCCGGGCCGGGAGCTCACCAAGCAGCGCCTCCTGCAGGCGCTCCCGGAA